CCTTCTTGATGGTATCCTACAGGGTTCTTAGGCCCTGTTTGTTTCTCTTCTTTTTTTATTCAGACTGGATAATCTAGTTTGACCTATCTTTAATTTCATTGATTCTGTCTCCTTCCTGCTTAAAAACTGCTCTTGAACTCCTCCAGTGAAGTTTTTATTTTAGTTATTGTACTTCTAACTTCAAAGTTTCTATTTGGTGTTTTTTAAAGAATTTCTATCTCATTTTTTTCATTCTCTATCTGATATCATTTCCATACTTTCCTCTAGTTTTTCAAACATGGTTTCCTTTGGTTCTTTTAACATATTTAAAATAGCTAATTTTAAGTATTTGTCTCTTCAGGTCAAATTTTAAAGTCCTTAGGAACATTCTCTATTGACTATTTTCACCCCTGCACATGGGCATATTTTCTTGTTTCTTTGGATTTCTCATAAGTTTTCTGATGGAAACATATTTTACATAACGTGAAAATTCTGAAAAAATATTTTCTTGCTTCTTCAGGGTTTGCTGTTGTTGTTGTCATTTGTTTGCTTAAAGACTTTTCTAAACTAATTCAGTAAAGTCTGTATTCTTTGCTATAGTATCCACTGACGTCTATGTTCAGTAAGCTTTTTGGTCAGCTGACAGTTAGACAGAGGTTTCCTTAAAAACCTAGAATCAGTGCATTCCCCAGTTTTTGCCAAGCGGTTCTCTGGGTGTGTCGAGGCATCCTTTTAATACTCAGGCAAAGAGTTGGCAATTCTGCCATAGCTTGCACATCTGCCTTGAGCAGTGCCTCAAGATTAGCCAGATGTGAGTGTTCAGGGCCTTTTCATTTCCGGTCTGAGCATGGTCATGTGCATAGCTGAATACATGCATGTGGCCCTCTAGATTTTCAGGAATATGTTGGAGCTTTCAAAGCCCCCCTAGGTATCTAATTCCTGAATTTTTCTCTTAGGCTTTCTATTGAGCTTAATGTTCGCCTCAATTGCTTGCCCACCCAGGCAGCTGCAATGTTAAACAATTGCCTATTTTTATTGTCAACCACTGCCCCTGGGGAAAGGCTGTTAGCACTGAGTCAGCCCTGAGTCAAGTCAATAAAGACACCCAGGACAGTAGAGTCTTCCAGGGGATCACCAGATAATTCAAATAAATGACAATTCTCTCAGAATGAGGCTTTAAAGGAATTTAACACTTTTATGCTTCGTTGACAGGTTGCCAGACCGCTGGTTTTCACCACAATACCAGGCTGTTGATTTTTAAGTCTACTGGAGAACTGAGGGGGAAACGAGGATAAAGCACGTTAAAATGCCATAAAGCTCACTGATTTTTTCTAACTGAAATTTGACTTTTTCTTTTTTAACAAACCCTCCCTTAATGGCTGCAAGCTTTTGGTTACTTTCTTGAGCTCTGAAATAGTTAATTCTGACCAGGTTTCCAGTGTTCATGTTGGTTTCATGGAGAAGACGTTCAGTGATCCTGGCTCTGCCTTCTTTCTGGATATCTGATTTGACTCTTGATCAATTTATGATGTGTTGATTGAGGTCTAAAATTTTCTCAGGAGACCCTTAGGGTCAGTTTCTTTACTGATAGTTTACAACTGGATTTACGGTCTGACTAACCTAGCTTGATTATTTCAAGAGCCTCCCTAAGAGTTTGTCCTTTGAGCCCTGTAAACAAGACCTTAGTGGTTCTTAGTTGGTGACGTGGCATGGCCCACTTAGGCAAATAAGGGCCCTTGTGGAGCTTGCATATGGCAGGTCGATCAGACTTCCAATGCTTACCTGTCTTCTCTTTCTCTTCCTGCACCACATTATTTTTCCTTTAAATAAAAGCTTAAATGAAAGTACTCTGTGAAAGCTGGTGAATCCTTTTAAATAACCAAACTGGGATATATTGGCAATGGTATGTACATACAGTATAATAGCATGCAGCTACAGAAAGGAACATGAAAGATATCTGTGGACTGATATGAAAAGACATGCAGGATATATTGTTAAATGAAAATGTAAGGTTCAAAATTGCATAGTTAGTATACTATGTTTTTTATGTAGTAAAGAGGAGCAATACAAGGGTATATAATTGTATTTGCTTGATTTGAGTAACAAAATATTGAAAGAATACAAAAAATGTATTTAAATGATTAACTGTGGAAGTAATGGAAGCAAGATACAAATTTTCATATTGTTTTGATTTTGAAACTTGTGAATATTCCCATTCAAAAAATTAAAATTTCAAAGTAAATGAAGGAGAAAGGAAAATAAAAACTAGGTCATGTGGCCCAAGAGGAATAATAAAGTATTATGGAGGCCTATAATAAATACCAAGAAAAAAAATGGAAAAATAATTGACATGCCAAACAATAAACATAAATAATAAAAGTAAAAGAGACAGATACAAGGGAGAAATTTCACTTGGGTGACATAGAAAAGGCTTGGATTATTGCTTAGCTTAGGATTTCTGAAGGGGTGGGGTATGTCTTCATTGGGGGAGACTGTCCTGTGCCTTGCAGGCAGTCTAGCAGTATTGCTGGCCTCTACCCACTAGTACCAGTCGCACCACCCCTGAAACACTGTGACGACCAATATGTCTCTAAACATTGCCAAATGTCCAGGGGAGGGGGACACCAAGGCACCCCCAGTTGTGAATCAGTGCTTTAGCTGATTTTCTGAGCAACTCATTAAAACTTTTTTTTTTTTTTTATTTCCTAGTAACTGTTTTCCTGGCAGTTGAGCTGTGTCCCAAAACTGTTCTTTCATGGAAATGTCAAATATTGCATATAATAGTATTTTCCAGTCTTTTAAAAATTAACATAAGCATGACTCAACCAGTATGTTATTTTGCAACTTCTTTTTAGTGACATTAATGGTTTATCAGAACTATTTTCCCTTTAATAAGATATTTAAATTGCTCAACCACCTGACATGATTTTATCACTTTTTAGCTTTTTATGTGGCAGCCAATCTCGGTTTCTTCAATGATATTAGAGAAGCGGAATTAAATAATTAGATCCACGTATACACTTTTCAGTAGAGTTTTCAATTTAAAAATGAGGGGAGGGACAGCTCTAACGTGAAGTAGTTCTGTTACTGACTCTTTTTCTTTCTACTTTTTCCATTTCCTTTCTTCTCTTTTCTTTTCTATCCTTTGTTTCTTAACCTTCCCTTGGAAGTCTGGAATCCATCAAAATGTTTCAAGAAATTGTCCAGGGAATGGTAAGGCCAATAATTAATTAGCTCCATATCTGTGGCAATCCCCATCTGGCAATGACCTACACCCAGAGGGCCTTCCTAGCTCAGGAGCTCACAATTCTGACAGCCTGACTGCTGGTAGGTCCTGCCCAGGGTAAGGAAAGGAGCTTCTCTTTCCTCACTGCTTCCCAGAATCGTCTGAGAGTGGTGCACGTGATCCTAATTATTTTTAACTTTTTATTTTTTTTGTTGATTACCTTTATTTCTTTTTTAATTTATTTTTATTAGTTATTAGAGGCTAAACATATATATGGAATTTAGAAAGATGGTAACGATAACCCTATATGCAAAACAGATGAGCTAATTATTTTTAAATATGGTTATTTCGTCTCTGAAGAAAGTAACCCCACCTGTAATCACAGCGCAACCATTGCACAAGCTTGGTGTTGAGTCTTGTTCCAGAGGTCTTTTTGTTAATGTGATTAATTTCAGCTCGAGGAACTGTCAAGATCACATGGCCCAGGAGAATCCCTTCGGGTTACCCCGTCACCTCTGGTGAAAGGGCTTCCTCACTGGAATGAAGATACGGTTCCAAGCAGAAAAGCGAAGACTTTTTTTATGGCTGCGAAGACAAAAAATTCTCTTCATTCTGTAAAAACAAAAACACCGGAGTGTAAAGATGGGGTATGTCCGGAGCAGAATCTTCACCCACCCGTCCTCCCTCTTCCCCAGCGCCTCCTGGGTCTTCCCAGTTGACTGGAGTGCGGCACGTAGGTGGGAACCCGGCTCACAGCGCGCCGAACTCCCCCGGAAGCATCCGGTAAATAGCAAACAGATGCCCAGGACGCCAAAGACCTCACCGACCAGGGCACCGCCTGGGAAACGAGTTCCAGCCGGCCGTTTTCAAGTGGAAAGGCTAACCGCCGGACTGTCCCGTTCCCTGTACTTGAAACCAGTGGGTTTCGAAAGCAGGGCGTCCTTTGCCCCAGGCAGGGTGTGGGGAGCTAGTCCGGGCTCCAGTACTGAAAGCCCATCCCCGGCAGTTGCAGAGCCGAGAGACAGCTTTATGCCTGGTCTCTTCCCGAAGTAAAGCAGCCTTCACCTGGAGACGCAGGCGCCACGCTGCTTTGTCCGTTTGTTGTCCCCTCTTCCAGCCCCACTTCCCAAGCTGGGGCCCTTGACACCCCTGCCTTTGTTTCCAACCTCGCTCTTGTGTCTGGACCGCGTGAGTCCCGAACTTATCTAGAAAGCTAATTTAGGGCCAAATATTCAGTTCCGGAAGTTAGTTCAGACAGAGGGACTCTCAGAGCATATCCTCCAAAGTTCCGGTCCTGTCGCCACCTCGGCTCCTAGCGCAAGAATCCCCAGGTGGGCGGCGGCAGGTGTGCGGCCCAAGCTCATCACTGCCGGCCAGGGACTGAGGGTCCTCTGTAACTCTTTTGCGACAGCACTCTCTACCACACCGGGGCACGCTCAACAAATCCCATGAATCCAAGTACCCCCGTCAGAGATGCCCCCATTCCAGTCTGGTCCGACCGCGCTGATTCTAAAAGCCTCTTCTGCGTGTCGTTCGCGGCGGACTCCAAGAGGCGCGCGCGCTTGTTTGCGCGCGTCCGCCTCCTCCCCCGGCCCTGGCAGGGGGCGGAGGGTGGGTGGGCAGAGGACCTGGATCCGATTAGCTGGGAGGGGAAGCTGTGGTCCCAACCACTCTCTCGTGTGTCCTCGAGGAGGAGGGAGGGACGGTGCTCGAGAGGAGGGGCAGGAGTCCCATCCCTGAGCGCTCAGGCCCGGGGGTCTGAACGCTCACGTCTCCCCCACCCTGGGCCGCGGCCATGGGACCCCCTGCCAGCCCCGGCTTCTACGTGAGCCGCGCGGTGGCCCTGCTGCTGGCGGGGCTGGCCGCCGCGCTCCTGCTGGCGCTGGCCGTGCTCGCCTCGCTGTACGGCCACTGCGCGCGCGTCCCGCCGTCGGAGCTTCGCGACCGCGGGGCTCCGGCTGCCGCGCCCTCCCTCCCCGGCCAGCAGGAGCCGACCGCGCAGCCCGGCCCCACCCCGGAGCCCGACGTGGCGGCCACCCGGCGCTACCGGCGACCTCCGGGGCCCTGGGACCAGCTGCGCCTGCCGCCCTGGCTCGTGCCGCTGCACTACGAGCTGGAGCTGTGGCCCCGGCTACGGCCGCGTGACCTCTCGGCGTCCGCGTTGCGCTTCACGGGCCGCGTGAACATCACGGTGCGCTGCACCGCGGCCACCGCGCGGCTGCTGCTGCACAGCCTCTTCCTGGACTGTGAGAGCGCCGAGGTGCGCGGGCCCCTGTCCCCGGACGCTGGAGACGCCTCCGCGGGCCGGGTATCTGTAGTGGAGAGGTGGTTCGCGGTGGACATGCAGTACCTGGTGCTGGAGCTCGGCGACGCCCTGCAGCCCGGGAGCCTCTATGAGCTGCAGCTCGGCTTCTCCGGCGCCGTGAGCCAGGACACCAGGGAGGGCCTCTTCCTCAACCTCTACACGGACCAGGGTGAGCGCAGGTAAGGGCGGACCGGCCCGGGCCCCGTCGACCCCCCGCCCGAGGGCCCCCGCGCGGGCTGCGGGTCTGGCTGCCTCGGGGCGCATCTCTTGGCCCTCCGCGAAGATCGCCAGCCCAGCCCTCGCGATGTTTTCTTCTAGAGTCAGAGGGTGAGCGCCTCCTTCCTCCCATCCCTCCAGAAACTGCTCGGAATAACAGCCTTTGGAGACTGTGGTGCTTCTTCCGGCCAGGTTTCAGCCTCCATCCCTGCCCATCCAGATTGTTCCTATCGTTGTCCCTTTTAATTTTCTTGTTCTCTCCAGAGAACCCCTTTACCTCTAATTCAGGGCGTTCTCTAATCCAGATTATCCTCAGGGCGACGAGTAAACCCCTTGCTACTCAAAGTTTGGTCCGCGGACCAGCGATAGGTGTACTGTCTGGGAGCTTGTTAGGAACGCAGACGCTTGGGCCCAGCCTCACCCAAGGGGATCCGAATATGAGTTTTAACGGAGGTCCTCGGGGGATTCGCCCGCGTTAGAGTTGAAGCTCAGCGCCGGAGCACCCTTGAGGCGCTCCCTCCTTAGCGTCTTTCTGCTCTTTTCCTCCTCTGCCTCTGTTAACTGCAGGCGCCCTAACTGCTGCTTTTGCAACAGAGAGACACATGTCCGGGCTGTTTGTGTCATCGCTTTTTCTTTTTTGCCAAGGTTCTCCCAAAACTTAAGAATCACCTTTCATTTCTGCCCTCCCACCCGTGCCCGGCCCCGCGTGTCGCTTTGCTGGTGAGCAGCCGGCATCCCCTGCTCTTTGACCGGCTCTGTGCCGGCGTTCAAGAAAAGGAAAAACGATGACGGAGGACCTCCCCTCTGAGCCTGCAAGCCCACACAGCGCACACGTGGGTTCTCTTTACACTCTTCTGTGATAGTATCTCCCACGCGGAATGTTTCCAGCTCAAGACCTGCCTCTTGCCACGCTCTGGGACCACATCCCTGACCTCAGACAAGCGCCGGGGAAACTGTTTGTTTTTTCCCCAAGGTTGTGAGCCCCTGCTTCACTCATGTACTCGTGGAGCATTTGCGGTTTACACAACTGCATGTACTTTTCCCTTTATTATTAGAGAAAATGTTCTCAGATGTTCTCTGAGGGAAAGAAACCCACTAAATTACCCCCTAAATCGTCTCCTGAACTATTTTCAAAACTTCAGGGATTTAAAATAAGTTTTTAACAAGCCGGCCTAGGTGGATGTGTAATCTGTAACTTTTGTTTTTAAAGGCAGCATGCTTGATGTTTCTCTTAAAAATGCATCAGTGCTTGGGGAATAGTTTTGAAAAGTTTCTCATGAGGGTCATGCGATACTGTACTTACAGGGTTCTGGAAACCTTTTGAAATAACTGAAAAAGGGGATGCTTTTTGCACACCTATTGACAGTGTTTTTTGCTGTCAGTAAATTTTCATCTGTTCACCACTCTCTTCCTTCCTCCTGTCTTAATTAGCCTTAATGAGGCTGTGGCCCGGACAACTGCCCTAGCAGACACAGGAAAGGAAAGTCCCTTTCCATTTTTCTATTGTGCTGCCAACTCTAGTGGTAACTAGAAACCGTATTTTGATAGCATTTAAATTCTAATAAGCAGAAAATTTAATGAAGTCCTGCAGATGTTCATAGACTTAGCTGGAGCTCCGGAACTGTGGCATCTGAGAGGAGCAGTTGCCTGGAAGTTGTTCTCGAGTCTCTGCCTCTGAAACCAGGAAGAAGAGAAACCTGCAGTCGCACTTGAAGCCAAGGTCACAAAGAACCTGAACAAAACGATGACTTGTGATGGGGCAGAGTTTGGGAGCTCAACGGGTGTGAGTCTGAACTGTGTGACTTGAGATAGTCTCTTCACCTGTCTGAGTTGCCTCATTCGACTAGACACAATAAATGTCAACCTTCAGGATGTTGTGAGAGTTGAATGGGAAAAGGGGGATCGTGACTGGTATGTAAGCCATGTAGTGGTGGCCTCTGTCATTAGCTGGGGTATTATTATTAGGCACAGTCTCCTGTTGTCTAAGCATGGAACCTGTCACATTCCTGGTAGTTAAAATTCTAAGGCTGTTTCTACATGAGAAGAAGTTGCCTACTGTCTTCACATTTTTCTTGGGTGTCTCTAAGTCCAGCCACAGTGGTTGGGACATGTTTACTTCTGCTCCTAGATGGTCTCTTATCACAGTCCAGACAGGCCAATGTTTTTAAATAATTTTACTCCACTCTAAGGGAAGAGAGATGCGGCTTGGATCCCTGGGTCAGTAAGATCCCCTGGAGGAGGGCATGGCAACCCACAAGTATTCTTGCTTGGAGAATCCCATGAATGGAGGAGCCTGGTGGGCTACAGTCCATGGGGTTGCAAAGAGTCTGACACGACTGAAGCAGCTTAGCGAACACACACACACACACACACACACACACACACACAAGGAAAGAGAGAAAGTCAATCCAGGAAATACAAAGAGCATCACTGTTTGACTTGTAAAGTTTACGTGATGATTTTCTAGCTTCAGAAGTTGCAGGGGATGCTTTCTACTCATTCTCAGCCTTTCTCCACTTAACAGGTGACTTTACGTTTCTGCCATAGGATCCATCTACTGGATGCCTTGGACATGTGCATCTTCCATGTGTGGAAGGTTGAGAGCAAGATCCAAATGCTAATGTCCCTCTAAGCAGTATTTCCCAAGCTTCATTTGCTGGCATGTGACTGTTTCCAGATTTTGCTGTACTCACATACCTCTGGCGGTGTGTGCTCAGTCATTTCAGTCGTGTCTGACTCTTTGTGACCCCATGGACTGTAGCCCAGCAGGCTCCTCCGTCCATGGATTTCCCAGACGAGAATACGGGAGTGGGTTTGCATGCCCTCCTCCAGACAGTCTTCCCCACCCAGGGATCCAACCTGCATCTCCTGCTGCATTGCAGGCAGTTTCTTTACCGTTGTCCACCAGGGAAGCCCATCTCTGGCCATATTATTTACTTTAAAAGTTTCTTGATTTAAGCATACATGTTAAGTAGATTTACTGAAGCCACTCTGTATCATTGTTATAGATGGAAGACCACTTGAAATTTATAGAAAGGAATGGCACAAATACAACAAAACAAAGCATTGTTAATATGTTCAATCTATTATTATTGCCAGCTGAAGGATCTGAAGGCTTTGAATGGGAAGAATGTTGTCTCTTTGTTAAAAAGGGAAATTAGAATTAGTTGTTCAAGACAAATAACACCAAGCCAATGCTATCTCTTGACCTAATCAGAATGATTCATAAAACTGAGAAAGGGCTGACTATCATGTGTGAGCCTGATCTATGTAATAGTGTGTCTGACGGTTACCAAAAATCTTTCTCCATCTATGCTTTGGGAAATCTTGCATTGCAGTGTGGTTCACACTTCAAGGTGCATCAGAAGCCCCAGAGGAGCTTGTTAAACATGCAGATTCCAGGGGTACACCCTCAAAATTGCCAGACCAGTACGATGATGTTCATAGCAACTGTTTTCACAGGAGCTATAAAGTAGAAGAACCCAAGTATCAATTTATGAATGAAGGGAAGAAACAAAATGTGATATATACTCACAATGAACTATTTTTCAACCTTAAAAATGAAGGAAATTCTGACACATGCTACTACACAGATGAATCCTGAGGACATTATATAAGGGACCTAGAACAGTCAGATTTATGGAATGATAAAGTAGAATGGTAGTTGCTAGGGGCTGGTGGCATGGAGAGTTTTTGTTTGATGAGTATAGAATTTTAGTTTTGCAAGATGAGAATTCTGGAGACTGGTTGTACAACAATGTGAATGTACTTAACACCACTCAATGTTATACTTTAAAATGGTTAAGATGGTGAATTTTATGTTATGTGTATTTTTGACCATTTAAAAATTTCAAAAGCAAAACATTTCTAGAGCAGTGAGTTTTGAGTGAGGGTTTGGAAATTTGTATTTTTTAACAATTGCTGCAGATAATCATTTGCATTATCTTTATATCATGATATTTATATCTAAATATCATAAAGATATTTGCCATCTTTATATCATGTCAGTGAAATGTCTCTTAGTGTCTTTTGTCCATTTTCTAATTGAATTGTTTTGTTTCCTTACTGTTATAACTGAGTTCTGTTATTTCTTTATATATTCTACATCTGAGTCCAATGTGAGATATATCACTTACAAATATCATTCTCCTAGTCTGTAGCTTGTCTCTTAATCTTCTTAGTAAGGTCTTTCAGAGAGCAAAAAGTTTTAATTTGAAAGTGTCATGTTTAAGTATTAATTTTTTTACGAGAGAGACTTTTTTTTTAAGAGAAGTTTTAGGTTTAGAGCAAAATTTAGAGGGAAGTATAGAGATTCTTCATCTAGCCCCTACCCCAACACATGCATAACCTCCCCCCATGATCAGGCACTCATTAGAATGACACTTTTTTTAAAACTAAGGATGAATCTATAGAAATACATGGTTTACCTTAGGGTTCACTTTTGGTGTTGTGCATTCTATATGTTTGATCTAATATATGACATATCCATCATTATATTATCATACAGAGTATTTTCACTGCTCTAAAAATCCTGTTCTCTACCTATTCATCTTCCCACCATCCACTCTGCCCAGCAACCACAGATCTTTTCATTGCCTTCATGGTTTTGCCTTTTCATATGTCACATAGTTGGAATCATACAGTATGTTACCTTTTCAGCATGGCTTCTTTCATTTAGCAATATGCATTTAAGGTTCCTCCATGTCTTTTTATTTCTTTTTAGTGCTGAATAATATTCTGTTGTCTGATAAATAAACTGTACCACAGTTTATTTATCCATTGACTTACAGAAGGACATCTTGTCTGCTTCCAAGTTTGGCAATCACAAAAAAAGCTCTTATAAACTCTATGGCCAGGTCTTTGTGTAGACATACATTTTCAACTCCTTTAGGTAAATACCAAGGTGCCTGATTGCTGGGTCATATGGTAAGCATGTGTTTAATTTTGTAAGACACCACCAAAC